AGGCTGTGTATACATACATGAAGTCATGGAGCTGAAACTTGAGCTCTATGTATTCTGCTGTATGTATGTTATACCTCATTAAAATCTTTTTTAACCAGGTACAGTGGCGCATGCCTTTAATATCCCAGTACTTAGGAGGCAGAATTCACTAACAAATGCATACAGTTGGAGATAAATGAAAACAATTAAAAATTAGAAATGATTATAAAATAGTTTAACGCCTGTAGTAAGCTGAACACCTAAGACAACAGAATCCCACATTGTGAGCACAGTGCCTTCAAAATCCACAAATGCAGTGGGTAAGGAAAGTACAGTGCCATCCTCAGGAAAGGTGCAGTTAATTCAAATCTATGTGACTGCATATAAAACGCACAGGAAACCTGCAGGTGAAGGGCAGCTGGTCCATCCTACCCATACATAGTTTCCTGAGGCTACACTTAAATCATGTGTCAAGGTGATACAGGAACGCTCAAGTACCTAAGCCCAAATAGGGTCCCACTTCCAAGGTATTCTAGGAGTATTCCATGGGAGAAATTTCTCCTTTACTCCTCCTCTGTCTTCATTGGTCTCATTATGCCATGGACAGCTAGTGATCTTTGTTTGCTTGGGCCATGTCTCTGTGTTACTGAGCAGGTATGGTGAGGAAGCTGACTTCTCATATCACCAATCAAGCTTACTTTCTTTTCTCTCTTACCCCCTTCTAAATCATGGTCGTCTGTTTGACACAACTGGCAATGTTTGGTGTTATGGAGACACAACCTTGCTTTGTTGTGGATACTGCTCTGTCAAGTCTGGGCAATGTGGGTGAGGGAAGGCTGAGATTTGGAAATGCTGTGGGAGGGCTCAGAGGTTTACCTTGTCCTAGGCACGGGGAAGGGCCAACCACCTGCTGATGGGAAGATTTGGTCTAGGCCAAAGTCTATTAAGCCAGTGTTATCATAGGAGAGCCTGTTGTTTATTGTTGTTTTGTATTGTTGCTGATTTGTTTGAGACAGTTTTACTATGTAGCTCAGGCTGGCTTAGAACTGTGTATATAGCCTAGGGTGACCTCTAATTTGTGATTGTTGGGCCTCAATCTCCCAAAGGCTGGGATTGCAGGGGTACATCACCATGCCCAGTTTTCTGGGAAAGCTTTTAATTTTTGTTGTTATTACAATGGCAGAGCTATGAAAACAATGAACTTATGTTTCCCACATCAAGCCCCAACTCTGCATGCAACTTGAAGAAAAATACTTATGGAAGTAAAACCTCAGGCAAGGAGGGCAAGCCCTGCCTCCAGCACCCAGTGACAGATGCTCTGTAAATACACCTGTTTTGTTCTTATAAGGGGAAAGAGCCCAACACCTCCAAGGGCCATGCTTCTTTCGCCAAGCAAGGTCATTCTCAGTGAGCTCTGTAAGAGCTTGGAAATTCCTTCTTAAAGAACAAGATGTGAGATCAAGTGCAAACAGACTGGGGAATAAAAGGAAACAGCCACATCAGGACTCACGAGGTTCCTGACAGTGAAAGATTATAAGTACGTGCTTTTAAAAAATATTTGATTTATTATTTTTATATGTATGAGTGTATTGCCTGCATGTATGTGAGTGCACCCGTGTCGTGCAATGTCGCGGAGGTTAGAAGAGGGCTTCGGATTCCCCTGGACCTGAAGTTAAGGATGTCATGTGGGTGCTGGGAATCGAACCAGGTCCTCTGCAAGAGTAGTCAGTGATCTTAACTGCTGAGCCATCTCTCCAGCCCATAAGTACGTTCTTTAAAATTTTTTTGGCTTTATTTTTATGTATATGTGTGTATTGTGTGCATATATGCAAGTGCACCTGTGTCCTGCAGTGCCCGTGGAGGGCAGAAGAGGGCATCGGATCCCCTGGGACTCGTGTTACAGACGGTTGTTAGCTGCCAGTGGGTGCTGGGATTTGAAACCATATCTTCTGCAAGAACAGACAGTGCTCTTAACCACTGAGCTATCTCTTCAGCCCACAAGTACATACTTTGCTATATGGCTCCTGGTCCTTCCAAAAGTTTGTTTGCTGGGGGACCTCCCAAAGACGGAGAGGGGCAGGGAGGTCAAAAATTATGTTATTCATTGTAGAATAACATCAAGGATGTCTCCCTTTGTCTCCAGTCCTGATAGGGCCCCAGGAGTCTGATCCACTCTACACTTGCCTGAGGTTGGAGGGAGAGACAGGGACTTCCCAGATCCCAGACAAACTTCTGCAAAGGCACCATCACTCTGGGAAGCTGGGAGTCCACCTGAGCAAAGGTATCGTTGGGCTGGGGACCTTAAGTTTCCACCTTCTTTCCCAAGTGATGGTTGGCAGCTCCCAGGATCCCTCTTTCTGCCTTCACTACTCCTTTTAGTCTGAAATTTGTCAGAACAAGTATCACCTATCAGAATCTTCCTCTGGGCTATAAGACTGCTTTCCCAAAGAATCATCCATTCCTAGTTTCCCCATCCTACTGCCGTTCCTCAAATCCTCTGTCCATCACCAGATTACACAATTCCTTCTGCCTGTGGCATTTTCTCCCTTGAGGTGAGCTAGTGTTCATGCCCTGACCCAGTATGTTCCATATTCCCCCTCTTTTACCTTTTGTTTTTTTTAGCTTTCCCTAGAAATACTTTTTGAGTGTCTTTCCTAGCAAGATGAATTATTCTGAATTCCTAGATTTATTTTTCCCTTCCTCCTCCCCCCCTCCTCCTCCCGAGAGCATGCTTTTGTAGGATTCCTCCTCCCTCTCCCCTCCTTCCTCCTCTTCCCTCTCTCCCTCTTCCTCCTCCTCCCCATCCTCTCCCTCTTCCTCCTCCTCCCCCATCCTCCCCTTCTTCTCCCTCCTCCTCCCCCCCCTCCTCTTCTCAGAATGCTTGATGAAGTTACAGAACTTGAGAATTCTCCATGATACTCTGGCCTGGATGGATTCTAATAGTTTAAAGTCCTTCTTGGTTCCTGACAATCTAAGCAAAGGTACACTCACCTAGGTGGTGTAGGGGAAGGCTGCACAAATGGGGACGCCAAGATAAGGACAGGAGGGGATAAATCATATACACAGGAAGCAAAAGTCCTGCTCTTGTGGGGTGAAATGGCCCTTCTGGGGAGAGGAAATCACTGATGACCGCTTTCTGTGTTCTCAGCTGTTGTCGGGAGGCATTTGACAGTCTGTGGGGGTGGAAGGTCACCCAAAGGTGACTGACTCTGAGGGGCCTCTCTAACCTAGGCACAGAGAAACCTTTGTGGAGGTTCTCTCTTTCCTCCCAACTTCCTAGACCTAGATTCTTCAAACCCTCAAAACTTTTCCACTGTCACTCAGGAGTATTCGTACTTTCTAGGGTGATCTCTTGGGGAATAAGATTTTAGTTTTCAGCACCACTGCATAAACGCATCCTGTCTTCTGGGTTGTGTGCCATCCAGCCAGCAGCTCTAGGGAAGCACTTGAGAAGAGCACTTGAGAGGAGGTCAAAAAAGCCTAAGCCTGGAGAGTGAGAGGTGCCTGAGATCACTAGGTGACCCATCCAATTGGCATCTGCTGTAGAGTGGTAGGGGAACCAGCTGGCCTCTACATCTTCAGTAGACAGGGGCAGGAGAACCGGAAGCGAGGCAATGGGAGACCCAAGGCTGTGGTCTTGGGAGTGTGACCATCTGATGCTCTTTGCAGAAGGCTTCCTTACCAGATTGGCTGGGGACCACCACCCTTTGGCCTCAGCGACAGCCCTGAGCTTTCTTGGCAAAGTTCACCAGGGAAAGAAATGTGAGCCCTGGGCCAGAGGGGGGAGCCAGGACACCCCTAACAAGCCAAAAACCTCAGGGAGGCCTGTTTCAGGACCTGAGCCTGGTGCTCAGGGGGATCCCCACCAGGGGGCAGAGGGGAACCCCGGTGGCCCGCGGGAGGAGGCAGGGCCAGAGCCCAGGCACAGAAGGCGGAGCACACTCGCGGCGCTCTAGCTGTGGGCAGCGAACAGAAGGCTAGAGAAACCCTGGGTTTCTCGAAAGTTTCAGGCCAGTCCTTCTTGGTGGAGATCTGTCTACCGGCCTACCGGCGTCCTGCCTTGTGGGCCTCCTGCACCGCCCCTTTCTCTGGGCACCCAAGGGTTGAAGGGTTGAAGGACTGTGCACCCGGCTCTCTCAGCAGCCCAGTCTCCTCCCCGCGCCCAGTCCCCGCGGTGCAGGCCGGCGACCCGCAGCATCCCCAGCGCTGCCCCCCGCCCGTGCGCCCCCGTGCCGCGGACTCGGGTGGGACGAGTCGCGCTGCTGCAGGCTGCGGGAAGCTGTGCTGGCCGCTGCTCCCGGCTCCCTCGATGCACCCGGCGCGCCCGGGCAGGGGTTGGCTCTGAGTCGCCTTGCGCGGACCTAGGAGTAGGGCGCGCGCCCCGCGACGCGCTCCTGCAGCCGGAGGCCAGCGCCTGCTCGGGGTGGCCAGCAGCGGGCCCTTCTCCCGCCGGTCCTTACCCGCTCCTCCTCCCCGGCCACCGCCGCCCCCGCCTCCCGGCCTCCCCCTCCGCGCCTCAGTAGCCCCAGGCCGAGCGCGAGCGTGGGAGCCATGGTGCGCG